TGCAAAGAGGGTCATACCATTAGTTCATGATTAGAATGTACTTGAATGTGTTCATATTTTATTGATATATCTCAAAGCTTAAGGAGGGTATGATATGCAATTGTTTAGTTCGTCACAGAATGAGGTGTGATAAAGTTCAACAGAATCATCTACCCACCTTTGACAAGATGAATCTGTCACTTGAAGCATCCCTTGGATTGGACACTGAAAAAAGGCATCTCATAATTATCAAAACATATTGAATGAAATTAATCCTAACTTACTGATGATCTCACAACAGAATGTATGGTGAAACTAATAATAGACATATTACAGTGAAACCCTGCCTTACGACCACCCTGTTAATAAGGCCACCTCATTATTACAGCCACTTTATTCTGGACCAAAGAAAAAACTCAGTCAGTCATTTTCTTAGTTAAAGAACCCCTTTTTGTGGCCCGTTGGTGACCAGATTAACGGGGTTCCATGGTATTTACATTCAGGTAAACAACCTCTCTTGATGAGGCAATATAAACATGTTTAATGTAGATATAACGCTATTGTTTCTCTACACTTTGACATGCTTCAGTAATTAGTTATCAGTTACTCATTTTTGACTCTGAACAGTAAAATTACAAGGAGCTATGCCATTTAGCCCTTCTAGAAGCAAAATTCGTAACGGAGGGCCACCACACTTCTAAATAAACTGGCCCAAAGATTGCATGACTTAAATGGATTCAAGCGACAATGGCTCTCTAAACTACTTGTTTTTAAAATGAATATTCAACAAGTAATCACTTCCTCGTGCACAACAGCTCAAAGTTACTACATGTAATATAAATATTGGCAAACGGTTTTATGCTCTTTTAGGTGTATTTTATAGAATTTGTCAATTATAGGAAATAAAATGAAGTCATTATTTATCTTCAAATTATGTGAGCAAGTTTCTATCCTAACATCACTTAGTATAGTGATTGCCATTTTTATCACATACATAGGGTTGCCATGGATACCTCCTAGCAGCTTATGGCTTTGGCACCCCGCTAACCTTTAAGGCACCAGTTCCCAAGCTCATCTATTTGTGACGAGTTCAATTTATCTTCAAATTATGTGAGCAAGTTTCTATCCTAACATCACTTAGTATAGTGATTGCCATTTTTATCACATACATTCGTCATTTGAACCCTTAAAATTGGACAGCACTACCTTAAAAGTGCCGTATAAATTTAGCACAACAATTTGAGTAACACATGCCATATGGTTGCCACTTTCACAAAGTTAGATAGCTTTTTGCAGCTTCATTTGCACAGCTTCTTGGTTGGTTCCATTTGATATTTAACAAAGTTGAAGTATGGAGGTCAAAGTTGACAACTTGCACAAACAAATGAGGACTATTTACTGTTATTTATTATTGTTACTACTCATTTTATCGCATTCCCTGCTTTTTTGACAAAAGTTGATGACATAAATCCCTCTTCTTTAAAATATTTCAAAGATAAGACATTTATGTGGCCAACTTTGCAAATACATTGATACAGTTGAACCTCTATTAAGCGGCCACCTATTAAGCAGCCACTCCTTATTAAGTGGCCAGTTATCAAAGTCCCAAATTTATTGTCAGCAAAATACTGTAAATAAAGCCCCTATCAAGCAGCCATCAGGCCACCTTTTGGTTGCCCTGATGACGGTTTTTCTATTGTCTTTGCCCCTATTAAGCAGCCATCCAGAATTTAATACACGTATATTAACTTTGTTTTGGAAAAGGTGACGACAGATAAGCCTCCAAAATAGAAGGTGAAGAGTGATAAAAACATTCAAACACATGTTTATCATGATTGTCTTGAAGTGACTCTAAGTTCACTACGAAATGAACCTGATGTTAAGAATGTTCCAGGTAAACAAACCCCTATGGCCATCTCCCATTTCCCCGCTTAATAAAGGTTTGACTGAAACACAAAATGTCATCCAAGGTAATGTTTAGTTTCCAGTGTGGTATCATCACCTCCAAGTTGGTGGATGTAAATACAGCTTTCTAGTTAGCTTCTTTTGTTCGTTCCACTGGCTGCCACATCTTCAGTTAATTGTATTTGCAAGGATATGACATATCCATTTGGCAAATAACACTGATTTTCCTGTTGCATCTAACAATTTATAGACTGAAATGAACTGCCGATCAGTGTGTTAAATTATTTTTTTATTGTTGCTGTTAGTCGTTGTTCCTCTGACTTATACTAAAGAGAATAACATTCCTTATAATTATAAGTTTAGCTTACATTTTACATCATTTGTCACTAAAATCCCAACAGTTTTAAAAGTTGTCATGACTACTGGATGGTACTGTACATTCTGGAATTTTTATTTTTGTTGTACTCAGTCAACAAATATAACTAAATTTAAACTATACTTTAAGTGTTCTCATTACTACATGTTTTACTTTCAGATTACATGTAAACTTAAAATTCAAAATATTCTGCTTAAAATTCAAGCAGGTGATCAGTCTAAGCGTAAGCTTAATATTTTTTTAGCACTGCTTGCAGATTGAAACTCTGCACTCTTGCAGATTGAAACCATTGATTGAGCAATTAATGTTCGACCAGCACAGTACCTTTAAATAGCTAAAGACGGAAAATTTGAAATCGGCCTATACAAAGGCTGAGATCAAAATATTCAAGAGTTCAAAATTCCTCTTTCCACTACAATGACTGTGCAAAATACTCACGCACATTGAAACTCCGCACCAGCATGAGCTTATAGTGTGAATGAACAAACATATTAAACGTGACTTTTTCCGTATTAGTACTATATTACAGCTTTCAGCCGAAGTTATAGCTGATGCACATTATCACGGCTTGAAATGTGTACGACAATGTAGCAATATCGAGGCGAGACTCTAAGATAATACAACACTGCCGTGCAAATTTACGAGATTTCCAGCTGATTGCAAAACGTCTTTGCCACTCACCTTTGTAGCGCATTGTGTGGAAAAACAGAACCGACATTATTTCTGCGATAGAGCAGCATGAAGTTGGATGCCTGCAAAGAAAAAATCGAGTAAAAAAACTGGCTCAAAGTGAAGCCTAAAGTATTTGTTCAATTTTATATTTGCATGCATTTACCCAGAGCCAGCCGTATTCGTGGACTCGATGCTATGAATTCGAAGCTTGCTAGCCATATCTTTCAAAGCTTGGAGCGTTTTCTGGTCTGGTCGGTGATAAGCTTCTCCCATTTTGCTCAGATTTAAACCAAGTTAACACTAGGAAAAGGACAATAATTAGTTCCACTCCGAAGCCCGTTTGCAGCGCGAGTGAACGAATTTGTTTAGCGTGCCTCGTTCTTGTACATTTCTTCCACGTGATTCGTGCCCTTCCAGCATTCATCCTTTGCGGGGACCGGTAGGGAGGAAAAAATTATAAGCATAATATGTCTAAATTCTCTCTCATAATTATCTAGCTTGTTATTTTTGTAAAAAAATCACCTATTCTAAATATCAATTTTTTATTGATTTAATTCATCTTTAGTGTTGTTTAATCAGCTCTCTTACTTAATTTCGGATGCACAACCTCACCCCTCCCCGGCTAGTACTTTTAAAACAACCCAGGAGGTGTCTGACACGCTTATCCCAAGACAAAAAAAAAATTTTAACTCAAAGATAGAGAAAATTTCCAAAGTTTCGCAACACCTGCCCGCAAGTTTTAATTGCACAGGCGTGCCTGTAGTTAAAAACTGGTGAACGTAACTGTGGGGTCGTAGGTTTTGATACATGTAACTAACGCGAGATTCAGTATTTGCATAAGTAGATGGTTGCCGTTAGGGACAGAGCACTCTTTAAAAAATTTTCCCTGGAGTGAAAATAGTTTCTATTGTCAAACAGATAGGCTTCTGTAGGTGACAAAATCGGTTACAATGATACCTTGTTTAAAAGGACTTCAGTACAATAAGTTTTAACGTGGATGTGCATTGTCAAATAATAATAAAGGAACAGGTGCAGGCAAGTTGGGGAGTTGGTGGAAAGTGCGCACGTGGCAGTCACGCGCGCGATCGCGCGAGGAGGATGAAAATGTTGTCGTAACCCATCCCTTCCATGATCACAGTTAATACGCTTTTGCTTGAACCCTTTTGAACTTTGCTTCAAAACGTGCGCAGATTTGCACGTTGCGATATTCAATCTTCTTTGGGACTGCATAATGTTGCTTTACGAACAATTAGCTGAGTTGAGTCATTAGAAACCAGCTGTTCCAGCTGTTCTGGTGTCGAACTTGGCCCAGGTTTTTCCAGTTGCAGCCTCTTTCTTTCTTGTTTACATTTGTTATTTGACCCAATTTAGGGGAACAACAATTTAAAGTAAATTTAGAGAACTAGCTGATACAAACAACTCCTATTATGGAGATTTCAGTTCATCAAAACAAAAAAAAAAGATTGAAATCAAATATTGCACGTTGCATCAGTGTCAAACGACTATAAAAACAAGACAGGAGCCATAAAGACAAACAGTGATACGCTCCCTAAACAAAACATGGCCTTGAACGATTCGTGAAAAGAACATTTTCCATACAGATTTCATGGAAAAGTGGTATAGAGTAAAATACAATGCGAAGTATTTTTTTTTTCTTTTTTATTTTTGTATGCTGAATTTTGGAACTTTGCCTTAAATAACAACTGAACGTGCACAAATTGAACCTTGATCCCAGGCTTTCTTTCCTTTGCCTCCCTTGTTACGTGTCGAGCAAACTGGAGAGGGATCTGGACAACCTCGTCCAGCAGTAGTTTAATCATGGCCAGGTTGCTCGAAAGCCGGTTAACGCTATCTCAGGATTGACAGTTAACCCAAGTAGTAATATTTCTTGTGTAAAAATGCTTTTCACTTCTTATGTCTTGTGTAGGTTGAGATTACTCAAGCTTAAAAGTGAAGGACAAAAGAAAACCTCACTGAAAAGTTTCAGATCTGAAATTAAAATTCTCACTAATCTTCGGTTCGCTTAATCGGGCTCAACTCGGCCCAGAAAGTCAAATCTGCACTCGATGCAAATCTAGGTGTACAGTCGAACCTCGATTATCTGGACCTTGATTATCCGGACTATTCGATTGTCCGGACCTTTTTCTCTGGTCCCAATTTTTTCATGAATATTTAAAAAATAAAGTGGGGCTATATTTTGGCCTAGAAGCTCGATACCGAGCGTGCGCTCCTTTTACGTGTGTCCATTTCACTTAAAACTAAGGCCATCACGAGTTAGTTTAGTGTCCCCGGGACTGGAAAATACCCCCAAGTTCCCGCAAATCGAGCCAAAGGTGTTCAAAATCACGATCCGCTTATGGCGGTCTCGGCGACTCTTTCAGTCTCAAAATGAAGTGTGGCAATATTTCGGCCTAGAAGCTTGAAACCGAGCGAGCGCTCCTTTTACCTGTGTCCATTTCACTGAAAACTAAGGCCATCAGGAATTAATTTAGTGTCTTCGGGACTGGAAAATATCCTCCAAGCTCCGGCAAATCGAGCCAAAGTTGCTCAAAGTCACGATGCGCGTAAGGCAGTCTTGGCTACTCTTTCAGTCTTAAAATGAAGCGGGGCTATATTTTGGCCTAGAAGCTCAACACCGAGCGTGCGCTCCTTTTGCCTGTTTCCATTTCACTGAAAACTAAGCCCATCAGGACTTAGTTTAGAGACCTCGGGACTGGAAAATATCCCCCAAGTTCCGGGAAATCAAACCGAAGTTGGTCAAAA